CATGAATGAGATATAATTCATAATCAGCTACAGAGAAAATTGAGGGATCTTCAAAGATTTGTAACTCCCAATTAAATATTAGGGAGTTACATAATGGTTAAATTACATAATCACCCTTTTATTAATTTTATATGTTACGTTTAAACATAAAGTAAAGAAAGAATTTGATTGGTTAGTTTTGGTTAGTATGGTTAATACAAAATACTTACTTAGTATTTGAACCACCCTCTCTCTCTCTATATATATATATACATATATATATATATATATATATATATAGGCCTAATCAAATGTGAACTGAATAGTTTGTGGTAACTATGAGGTCCAATCACAACCACAAATCAACGGATAAATTAGGAAATTAATAATTATGATAATTTGAGTTAAAATTATAATTAAACATATTAGGTATTTTTTAAAAACTCCTCTCTCCTTTCTCCTCTCTCCTCTCTCATCTCTCCGACCTCCAATCTTCGGCCTCCGGTGAAATCGGTATCACAGTATATCATAATGGGTATCACATTGTGTATTACAATGGGTATCACATTTTGTATTACAATGGGTATCACATTGTGTATCTTTGTTTTTAAGGTTTGAGTTGGTATCACAATATATCACAATGGGTATCACATTGTGTATCTTTGTGATTAATGTTCACCGAAGGCCGGAGATTGAAGGTCGGAGAGAGGACTTTTTTAAGAATACCTAAAATGGCATCTAATTATAATTTTAACTCAAACTACCATAATTATTAATTTCCTAATTTACCCGTTGATTTGTGGTTGAGATTGAATCTCACAATTATCACAAACTAATCAGTTTTCCCTTGAATGGGCCCCTATATATATATTCATAAATCATATAAACAAAATATTAAAACTAGAAAAAAGCTGGCTATCAATGTTAAAAAAAATAAACTAGAGTAATCGAGCTTATTAAGTTTGAGCCAATAAACTAGAGTTAATTCATCTTGATTTTGAACCCATAAACAAGCTTATATATGTAACTTGAATTTTAGGTCATAAATTATAAAATCATAATTGTAAGACTAGCAACAAGCTCAAGCATGATATTTTATATCTCGAGCCCAGTCCAAACCATATGTCACTTGACTCGTTAACACCCTTACTTATATTCAACCATATCTTTTTGGAGAAAAAAAAAAGACCACTGAAGTTGCATAAAAGACTCCCAAAAACCACTATACTCGTCTAATCATTATATTTGCTCTTTATTTTCAAAAAATAAAATAAAATAACATTATAGTTAAAACAACATGCATACACATAAATACATATTGAAAGGGTTCAATGTGATACAAGAGCTAGAGAAGACATTTTATATATAGTTCATAACATATTCATCCAACTTCAAATACGGCAAGGACAAACACCTAGTTGCATATTTCACGAGCAATTCCGACACGAGAGTTGGCAACGTCAAACAAAATCCTTAGATTTTGTTGTTGCAAATTGGCGATGACGTTCAACACCGAGTTCACATTATCAGGGGCCGATGCCATTGCCAAGCAAGCGAGCGTCCCAGCACTACTATGTATCAACGTGTTCTCCATGGGCAAAACAATGTCTAATCCCGTAAAATGAAATGTCATCTTTGGGGCTACGTTTTCATGCGTCACTGAAAAACATGTGTCAAATGCGCCCAACGAAGAAAATGGGCCTTGAGTTTGGTTTCTGAATGCCTCTTTGATTGCATTGTAAGCTGCAGGCACAAATCGGGTTATAACTGTTCCGGAATCAATAATGGTTCCTGCTCCAGTATTTGGATTGAAGTCAAGCAACTCTGGAGCTATGGGTACATTCACTCGACCCACACTTATTCCAGTGAGGTTCACATAGTATAACGAAGGCCGATGAGGGTTTTTAAGAAGTGGGGTGAATTTGATGGTTTTGGGTTGGCCATTTGGACCTAGTTTAAGTGAGCCTGAGAAATAATAGGATCTAAAACTAGGCAAACAATATGAGAATACACCGGAATAAAGCGATCCAGATTGTGAAAGCAGTGACATGGATCCACGACCCAAGCCCAACAACCCTTGAGGAGGAATCGAGTTCCCTGAGACACCACCAATGCATCCGAAAACATAACTAGGGATTATGTCATTGGCCAATTGAAGAGAGTCACGGGAGAGTGTAGCAGAAAATGAGGAATCACCACCGTACGATTGGTTAAATAAGCAATTACCATTTGTGGGCCCGGCTGTTGGGCATGATAGCCCACGAGCTTGCACACACTCAGAAGTGGCACAGTCCAGTGAGCCGTAAGTGGTTGACATGTTTTGGGAGAACATAGTTGAGGAACAACCAGTACAACCAGTACATGGTACCCAGGCAGTGTCTGCACTGGTGTCCAACACCATGAACATGAGTTGACCGGGTGTACCAATTTTCACACGGGCCACATAATTACCAACATTTATTACTTGGCCCGGTGCAATTGGCACTGAAGAAACGGGCTTTGTGGCAACCATGTTCGACAAGTAAGTCAGTCTTTGAGGGTCTTTGGCGGCCATATTGAGGACCGTGGTGGCCCACGAAGTTGGTTTTGGTGAGTCGAACGGTGAACATTTGCCATAGATATGGATGATGGAAAGATCCGAGCCGTCCGATTTTGGTTTCAAAGAGGGACATGGATCAAAAGCTTTTGTTGTAGTAGAAACAAAAGCAATGAAGAAGAAAGCAAGAATCGTTGAGTCCATGACTTTGGATGTATATTTGTCGAAACACAACATTGTCTATAGTCTATATATAAAAGATACCTTTTGTCATGTGAAGTTACAGCAATACCCCTGTCCTTATTTTTGGTCTTCCTCATCTCTTGGAAGATGTTAAAAGGAATTTTTGGAAGGCAAGGACACATTTGTCATAACCATTATAAAATTGATTCCCTTCCTTCCAATAAATATATATAATTTCTTTTATTTTAAGATAAAAAAACAATTATTATTGAAATAATAATACTGATTTGTGTCCATAAATCATTAAAAATCAAATCGTAGCAAGAATATTGAATAAATTGTTTAAATCATATATTTCCCTCTTGGTGAAAGTTTAATAAGGAAATTACTATTTTATCCCTGAATTATTATTGATATTGGTTTTTGTAGAACACCTCACATACACCTTGGCATTGGGGGGCTAGAATATATTGCAATAATTGATATATGTAACCTGTGATTATTTTTTATCTTTATTCTTCATAAAAAACATAAACAGTGGTTTGCATTTTTATTTTATTTTTAAATTGTTTCATAAGAAACGTTGGGTTTCGGTGACAAAAGAAGTTATGGTAAGAAGTATAAGAAGATATATCTACTATTGGATTAATCATAATTAAATGTCAACATTAATGAGGTACACCGTGATACACTGCATCAATTACCTTCTAAAGCGTAATTCATGGGTGAGCATTAGATTAAAAGTGATCAAGAGTCCAGATCTCTTCTTACGTTTCTCATCATGACTTCTCCTATCACATGATCCTTCGCATTTATAAGAAACAATCTCTCTCTCTCTATATATATATATATATGTATATATATATATAGAGAGAACTTGGTTCAAATACTAACCAAGAAATTTGTGTTAACTATACTAACCAAGCCTAACCAATCATATTCCATCTTTACTTTATGTTCAAATATAACTCATATATTAAATACAAGGGTAATTAGGTAATTTGACCTTTATGTAACCCCCTAATAATTAATTGGGAGTTACAAATCTTAAAGATCTCATTAATTGATCATGAAGTAATTCTGAATTTTATCTTCATACGTGTTCATGATCGTAATTTTCAAGTGATGTTCTACATATAATGATATTGTTTTTGTAAGTGTAAAAGATTTTCGTATCGTCCGAGTAATATGGATAATCCTATTGTAAAACATATTGACAACAATAGAAATGACAAAGTTAAATCGTCTACGACTACGGTCGGAATTCGAATTCCGATAATGAAGAAGATGATCAAAGCGTTCCTATTGGTAAGTGATTAGTATGACATTTGAATTCGTTTAAATGAACACATATCAAAGGCAATAGATGTTCATATCGATACATATGCACAATCACATCACATGAATATGAACAATATCTGTAATTCATGTGAACACAAGCTTCGTAGGTGTTCATGTATATACAACATAATTGGCTTCTGAATATACAGAAGATGTTCATACGGTTCACATGTTGTTCATATGTCTAATTTTTTTTGTTTGATGTGTTTTGAGGATAT